TTATTCGTCAATGTACATATAACTGCAATATGGTATTTTCATTAATCTTTCATCGCCTTACCAGTCATGAAATGTGCATATCATATCCCAACTATAAATAGTGGGTAAACTACCATTCGCACCAGAACAAACCGCACTCATAACTCGATAACGTTGCATGCTGAATCCAACAGCAAATCTACCGAGATAAGGCGTGGAAAACCATCACATGAACTGAAAATTTTTTCTCCTAAATCAGTTGATATTGGCATATCCGACTTGCCGCAACTCACACCCCACCACATACTCAAATTTCCCTCCAAAGAGGACGCGACCAAAACTTGCGAAACGCGTCCGCAAGTTCAGTCGTGCCCCGTTAAGGGAGAACCAGAGTGTACATGATCACCTCATTTATTTTCATGACAAAGTTGAACAGCTGCATAATTGTTTAGCTGGACCTGCACTTACAGAGCAAAAGTTAGAAATTTTTTTCAAGTGTCCATTTGTAGTCAACCGACGGCCACTTCGTCGAAGAGAGCCACATTTGGGAATAAGAAGGCCTGTGGAGATCTGTAATTATTTGTCGGTGTACAAAACGATAACAGTACTAGCTGTAAGATTCTCTTTCCCTGTCTGTTTTTTCATTTTGCAATGGAATGCATCTCTGGAAGATAGTGTCCAGCAAGAACAAAAACCAAATGTCACATTTAAAATTACTTTAATGGACTGAGAAAGCACTGCAAAATTTGGAATTTAGTCATATTACACTCAACAATATTATCCTGCATCAGAGTAAATTTACAGAAGTTGTGCTTAAGTGCTAAGTCTACGTCAATTGAGAATCTCATCTGCTCACTCATTTGATGATACAAATTTCTTTCACAAATTTTACCCGATTGATGGTAAAAGGAAAAGACCTCACCGTCATTTCCGGTTGGGTGTTGCCTTTCATTTTCCCCATTTTATGTTCTTCTCTTCACTTCAAACTAGCGGGGTTGCAAAAGTAAAACATTGTCAAATGCTTTTACTCTCTGTTTCTCTCTATCAAATGGTACCCAGTTTAGGCTAAAGAAATTTATGCTGTCAAGATGGCCGTTGTCACGACTGAATCTTATGTTGTCGTAAATACATATAACAGTTATATGAGGTGCTACACTTGGAACATTTGTGTGGTTCTTATTTTATATAGTGAAAGATTGTAAATAACTTTATTATCTACAAAATAGGTTTAATTGTGACGTGTATTTTGGGATGGGTATGTTTAGTGTTTAATCAATGACGCTTAACACTTGTTTGAAAATGAGTGGCGAAGAATTACAATAATATAAGAAAGGATCTTCAGACAATGTGAATTGAACAGGCATAATATATGTCAACAACTGCAACAAATGCCAAAATTTGACCTGCAACAAGTGATGACAAATTTTCAATGTATTTTTAGACCGAAATTGAGTCTGTCGTGCGTGCACGGCGTAACCCAACTAGTG